TCATACTCGGTGTCCTGCCTCTAAACAACCCTCTTCTTCCTCTCTGTGGCATTTCCCACAACCATCACCTCCTCCTCCAGCTCCACAGTCAGGCCCAACAGCCAAGCCCAGCTGGCAGCAGTGTGAGGCACAGGGAGAGCTGCAGAGCTCGCGTTGGCTGCGCTGTGTGTTCGTGCTGGGGAGCAGGAGGGCACACAGGAGGCAGGTACAGCACGGGGCAGCGAGGGCAGCACAGACCCACACTCTTGTAGGACCCACAGACAGGCATTTCTCTCTTCTTCACTTCTCCTCCCATAAAATTAAGAGACACGTTTTAATGACAGTTTGCTGAAATGTTCACTCCCTGCTGATTTGACATTGGGCAGAAAAAGTGTCTACAAAATCAATTTTTAATAAATGTAAACAACTAAATTATGAATGACAAAAATATCACTGAACAGTTAAATATTAATCACATAATTACTTAAATTAATACTTTTAGTGCAATATTGTGATAGAGAGCTCTACTTCCATAGTGTTGCTGCACTGGCTGGGCCGGCATATGGGGGACAACAGGACCACAGTGCCCCCCCCCAGCAGAGGGATTTGGGGACAGAGCAGTCTCGTGGTGCTTGCCACAGCCCCAGTTGCTTGTTGTCCTACAGGTCCTGCAATACTGGGTGCTCCTCTTAAGACCTCTGGAACCAGATTTATTAAGAAAGAACTTCTGTTTTCTGTTCAAAATCAAGCTGTCAAGAAAATGGCTTAACTGGCCCCAAACCAGAAAGTGACCCACTCCACCCCAAAAATTTTCCTGTCCCAGAGTGCCATTAAACTTGCTGACAGCAGTGTGTGACGTGCAGAGCCATGGCTGTGCTCAGGGATGGTGCTGGGAAGACCAAGGATGCTCCAGATGGAGCAGTGGGTGCCAAAAGCCCTAGTTGCTTCTGAGATAGAGTTGGGAGAGTTTAAGAAAGAGATGGTGTGTCATGAGCTCTGCTGTAGGGGCTGAAGTTACTGCCCTGTGGGCCCCCTCTGTGCTCCCACCTCGACAGGTGCTGCAGGGAGCTGGAAAATTGGTCACCAGGGTTGTGGGGGGTGGGCAGCAGCAGCTGTCTGTAGGTACTTGAAGGCAACACTCAGCTTCTTTCTCTGCCCAAGAAACTAAGAAAAGAATTTACTGGCACTCTTGTCCTTGTGGGTTGGCTGGCTGCGTTGTTTGTTTTTAATCTAATAAAAGAAGATCTTAATATCATAGTAAAATCGGTACAAAGCTGGAAACTCACCCCTCGGCGTTTTGGCGAAACATTATTGAAAATGTAAAAGCCTTTAGCAGAAACAACAGAAGCACAAAGAAACAGTAGAAATAGGATCAACAGGTTGTGTTCTGGATGTTGGGAGAAGTGGGGAAGTGCATCCAGCCAGGGCTCGAGGTGCCAGGGAGACCAGCTAGTCTGGGGGCTGGACACCAGCCCTGCTGGCTCTACGCCGTGGGGACGTGATGCAGGTGGGACCCTGGGAGGGTCGGGGTGGGCAGCACTGCAGAGCAGAGCACTGCCAGTGTCCAGGCAGTTGGGAAGAGCACAGTGGCAGGAGGGCAGGAGCAACTGAGGAGGAAGAATAGGCAGCTGGGAGGATCTGTGCACGGGGCAGATGGTGTGAGCATGGCAGGACCCAGCCAGGGAGGTGGAGGCAATGGAAAGGCACACTTGCTATACTTTAGCTTGTAACTGCTAGAATTGATCCTGGCTCAGTCTGCTCCCTGTATGGAAGTTAAGTATTGGACACAAATTTTAAGAGTGTTTCTAAACTAGAAAGTGAAGCATCTCTTGCAAAAAGGTAGGAATGCTGAAGGAGTCTTCATTGCTCAGACTCATCTTTTGCTGTGGGATCCAAGTGCAGCTCTGTTCGCCTTGTCTTTGTTTTCCTGTACCTCCCACCTCTTCACAAGCATCACTGGAAGTACTATTCCTGTGTGCCATAAGCAAGTGCCTCCTGAGAATACCATTACCTAGTTTGTCCACCAGTACAGTGTTGGTCACTGTGACAGCTCATAAAAACAACCATTTGTGGGATGACTTCTGCCCAATCTGAGCTGCAACCAGCCCCCACGACTTTAACTCATGGCACTGGAAGGAGCAGCTTCCTGAGGCTACCAGCCAGCCTAGTACCTTATTTCTAATCATCAACAAGTTTGGACAGTGCAAAGCCATTCCTGTCCCTTGTACTTGCTGGCTGTCTGATGGCCTGGGTGGATTTTGCTTCCATGATTCTGTGTGCAGCCTTTCATTCTGGCCACCACAGACCATCCACAGAGCTCTCGGGGTCTCTGTGGGGCTTGTGGAGCTGCTCCAGGTCACTGTGCTCTTTTCCAGAGCTTCACACATGATGAGTAACCCTGGCAAGCCAACTCCCCTTTTGAAGCTGCTGTTTGAGTTCTCTTGGTGCTCCCACAGTGTTGCATTTTCTGATTGACTTTTCCAGGTATGGTTTGTACTGGTGAGAAGGGAGAAGCAGGAGTGCTTTCCACAGGCAGCATTACAACATGCTGCAGCAGAGTTGGTTCTTGGAACATAGCAGCCCCCTAAAACGTCAAATAAATCCTTAAACTATTCATCACTCTGTTTTTGGGGTGGCAGTTAAGTCTTTCAACACTCTGCGAGTCTCTTTCCCCAGCAGTAATTTCACTGGTGAAGAAATACAGCTCAAGGCACTCCACAAAGGCCTCAAAATTCATGTTTTGTTTTCATTACCAAAAAAATGCTTCACTACATTAAAGAGTGGCCCATTAAAACTTTGTACCCTGTCTTCTCTGCGCCCTGTCGTTGTTGGCAAACCCTCCCCCATGCGCGTGCAGAGCCCAGCAGCAGCTTCTGCAGATCCACAGAGAGAGGGGACCAGGGCTCAGCCACAGCCCAGCTTGTTTAGGTGTCAGACCTCAAAACTTTCAATAGCCAGGCAGATTTAGTAAATGTGTCTACTGAACCTTAAGCTACCAGTGCTTCCTCTGCTTTCAGTCTGTCCCAGCACAGCACACTGGCTCATGTGTGTGTCCAAGGAAATGCATTAACTGTCTGGTTCCTGGAATAAAATGTAACCCCGTACAAAGCAACAGCTTTAACTGTCTCAGGCAAATGGCCCTAAAACAACAACGAAAAAGAAAACAATGACTTACTAGTCTTACTGAACTTTGTGATTATATGAATTAAATGTTGCCACGTGAACTGGACGGTGTTCTCTGATCCCATATAAACACTGGAGGTTGGAGAAAGCAGTAAACCTGTTAATAATTAGGTTTTAGGGGAGCATTTGGTTACTCTCACAAGTAATTCAGAGTAGCTGAATGCTGATGCAGTCATGATAGAAGGCAGTGAAAGCTGGAGACTGTGCTTAAGAGGACAGGAAGTTTTTTAGCAGAATTCAGTGGGGACTTGCTAAGTCCAGTTTTGTTTAACATTTCCACAGTTTAGTTAGCTATAAATGGCACATTAATTAAATTTGCAAGTATATTGAGAAGTTAGAAGATCAGAGCGAGGTGCAGCTGTGGAGAGCACATCTCACCATGTTGCATGAACCAGGACCCAGACCAAGTGATGCAGGGCACAGCCAGAAGCACCAGCACTGCAAAGGATGGTGGGGAATCAAACCTGCCCCTTCCCATCACCGGGATGGGCACTGGAGTCACTTCCATCCGCTCCCCACCCTGCTGGGCCAGAAAGCTCAGGGCGGGGTGGTGATGCTGGAAGGAGGAAGGCAGCAAGGCTGTGGTTGCAGCATTCATCAGCAGTGCTGGACATGGCCTTTGGCAGGGTTTGATAAGCTTGTTTTCCAGGGGAAGGGAAAGCCGTGCCCTGGTCTCAGCGAGGGATGTGGGGGGATTTCATGGCCCATTTGAAGGGGCGGCCCGATGGTGAAATCCAGGCGGCTGCGGGATGGTCTCTCTGGGAAATGGAGGAGTCCTCACTGGCAGGATTATTTAAGACTCGACTTTGAAAGACGAGACACTCTGCAGTTGGGAACAATGCTGCACTGTCAGAGAGATGGACTCAATTACTTAATAGGTCTTTGCTGTCTGTCTCCTGCGATTTCCCTTTCAAGAACATATATTCAGCTGGGTTATTTCTCATGGGAAGACAAAGTGTTGTGAGAGAAGCCAGGCATTTGGAGGGGAGAGGTGGGAGGAGCAGCAGCCAGGCAGAAGCCTGGTTTGCTCTCTGTGGAGCACACTCCTCAGGATGTGGAAAAAGCTGGAGTGATGTAGCTGGTGTGATCCTTTGGTCCTGTAACCAGCTGATCTCTCCGTCTCACAGGTCTCGCTTCCTCTTCTTTGCTCACAAAAGATTTGCCACTTTGCTCTCCTGCTGCCAGGCTCTGATCCCCAGGACTGCTGGTGGTGGCACTGTGGTCCCACAGGCAGTGCTGTACATGCTGCACAGGCCATTGGTTTCTGTTTTATCAAAACATTTTGTGTTGGATGGACACTGACAGGTCCACACAGCTCATCTGGGTTTATGGGCAGCCTCCCCTCTAGCACGGGAAGGCTCCCATGGCATTGCATCCAACAGCAGCCAAGCTGGAGGAAAAGCTCATCTCCAAGTAACCACTTGGTGCTGCTCTGTTAGGACGTGGTGAACAGGGATGTGTAATGGAGCCAGTGATTCCTGTTCTCCCCAGAATCACTCTGCCAGCCATGGGGTGAGCGTTTCATGGGCGCTTTCTCGCTGGGGTCGGGGCTTCACTGGCAGCCCTGGTTGAGGGCAGGAGGGCTGGGTGCCAGGGCAGCTGCAGGGCTCTCGTGCTGGTGTGTCTGCATGTGCACACGCGTGTGTGAGCATGTGTGTGAGCACACACATGCCCAGGGCATCGATCTCTGTGCACTTGTTTGTCACCAAATTAAGATACCGTGTTACCTTATGCACGTTGAATTGATGCACCTAAATTGGCTGGATATTCTTAAGCCCTGGGGCTGTAATGAGATTTTGTCTCTTTTGCCCATTTCTTTTTCTCTTCTTTTTTTTCAGAATAAGTCGTCTGTTTAATGGCACAGAGCCTATTGTCTTGGACAGTTTAAAACAACACTATTTCATTGATCGAGATGGAGAAATTTTCAGATATATATTAAGCTTCCTAAGGACATCTAAGCTACTGCTCCCAGATGACTTTAAGGTAAGGAAAGCTATAGTCTGCAATCTATTTTTTCCTCTCGTTCTGTCATTTGTTTTGGTGCCAGTTGGTTTGTGTGCTTGACCTAAACACACTTAACTAAATGTTGCTGTTTATTTGTTAGGATTTTTAGTACTTGTGTATTACACTAGGGATGCTGTTATTTAATAAATGGACCAATGGTTGTCATGGATACCATAAAAAGTTAAACGATGAAGCTTATGGCTAAATCAGTTTTTGTAGACTAATTGTATTTTCTCACATTTTTAGCTTATTTATCAGGGTATAACAACAATTAAGAAACAACATCAGCAACTAGCACTTACCAGGGTTTAATGCTCTGAATCTGAAAGAAATGTTTTAAATTTGATACTTGGAGGACTTGAACTGTATAAATCTTTTACTTGTTGGTATAAAAAGGCAACACACTTAAACAAGCCCATAAGAATTTGTGTGAGATATAACCAATGCAGATACTTTGACTTCAGGAAGTAATCTATTCACAGTTTGTGAATGTCAAAATATTCTTGGGAGATGGAATGGACTGAGGGTTTTTTAAGGAGCAGTGCATGTTTTCTGTGAAGTAGTGGCGCTGGTTGTTGCTTTGCAGGCCCTGATTGTTTGAAAGCTCTCCTCTCAGCCTTGTTTGTTTGGCTTCACACTTACGAAACTTCCAGCATTGTCACCCTCATGTATGAAAATTGGAAGACAAAAGTGTGCAAAGTGTAGATGACAAGATTAAACAAAAGCACTTACTCCAGGACAAATGATGAATAAATTGGGATGGCAGAAGGGGTGTGCTCAGTTGGAGGAGTGGAGCATTGCTGGAAAGGAAAGCTCCTGCACTCTGCAACCCGATTTCACTTTGTTGTGTTGGGTGGGCAAGATCACTTGGCCAGTTATGACTGAGTCAGTCCAGAGCTGTGGTGGTGATGGAGGCTCTAGCTTTGGAGTACAGCTGATCCTTGGGCTGCAACTGCTCCTCAGCCATTCTTGCCTGAGTTATGAGGATAATCATGTTTGATCCATCATGCGAGGGTCTGCAGTTGGTGCTGAGGGGACGCGCTTGTTGTGGGAGCACACGTCTCATCACGAGGCAGGAAGAAGGTTTGGCACTCGTGGTCAGTTTTGGAGCTCCAGCCCAGAGGGGCTGTCCTGAGCACTGGTCTTTCAGGCAGGTCAGGGAGGCTGCCCTGGGGGTTGGGGTGCTGTGAGACAGGGTGAGAGCACTGAGTGGTGGGTGTGAGAAAGCTCTTCACAGAGACGTGAGAGGAAACACGTGGGTAGCAGTGAAGCTAAAGAGCAGAGCAGTCCTGTGGGTTGTAAGATGGATCAAGTAAAGGGGGGTGGGGGGAGAAGTGGGACAGGTGCCAGAGAGATGCTTTAGCAGCAGTGTTGTGGACAATCTAGTGGGACAAGAAGGTATGAGAAGAGAGGGTAAAAGAGATGCAGTTCAAGCTGATCATGGCCTCAACCAGCATCCAGATTTCAGAGGTGCTCTGCAACAAATCCAGCAGGATTCGGCAAGAGCCTGGAGGAGAGAGTACCAGTGGATGCCAAGGACTTGTCTGCACAGCAAGCCTCTGGCAGGGCTGGGAGAGACTCAGGAGAGCCGGCGCTGTGCCCGGGCTCAGGCCATTGTTCCAGACCATCTCTTTGCATAGGGTTAACTGTATTTTATTTAGTTCCTCCCTGGGAGAGCTTTAGAGCAAACCCCAGGCTAATGAGGGCTCAAGAACAAAGCAAAGCATTGCTAGGTAGGGAGTAACTAAATCAAAATGCGTAGAAGAATGCGCTGTAAAGCTATATTAAAACTGCATTGTAAACGGATTTGACTTCACAGAAATCGTGTAATTTTACCAGCATGATTAAAGTGACAGAAGACAATAATCAAAGGCAGCAAATGGAATCACTTGGTGTTTCTAAATGCAAAACTCTATTTAAGGTATAAAACCTGACAGGTTTTCCAGTGAGACTTGCATTAAATGTTCTTTATGTCAAACAAAGCATTATCAAGTGTTTTGAATATTTATTAGTTTTTACCCCTTAATTTAATCAAGCAGTTTATTAGCCTCAAGGTTTAGCCAAGTTGCTTTTCAACTTGAATTGCTGCTCAGATGGTTATTTTGAAAAGTTTGGAATGTTAGTACCGCACCAGCGTTATTGTGTTTGCTATTTCGGTGTTGTTTTCAGACTAAGTTAACACTGAAATGCAGGAAAAGTGGGGTATGTGTTCTGAGGCTAGTGATTCTTTATTATCAAGTCTGAGTGGTGTGTTTACAGTGAATATTAATTACACTTCCAACTGCTACTCAGACAGAACTTGAAAGTGTCTCCCAGGTCTTCCTGCTGCAAGCAGCTCTCTTATAGTTCATACAGTTTTCCTGGGTTTGGGGGATTTTAAGCCACATGAAGTGTGTTGAGGAATTACTGTGAGTGGTTTGGCTGAGTTCTGCTCTGCAGCCAAGCGAGGTGATGGTGAGCAGCCCCTTGCAGCTCCCTCCTCCTGCACTGTTCAGTGTCCTGTGCGTGGGACCACAACGTACTGGAGCAGAGCACGGAGCCAGCACCCCCTGGGTCTGCCACGCTGCTGGGTTAAGGGGTAGCTGGCACAGGAACTGCTCCTCCTCTGGTGCCCAAATATTCTCTGCCTTGATCTCCACCCTGCCATCAGAGGTGTTTTCCCAGGACGTTCATGAGCAGCACGTGTCTCCCTCACTTCATGCAGAACCAGGACCCATTGTACCTCCTTGTTTGAGACTCACTCCCTGCTCTCAGAGAGCATCAAACAAAAATAGACATAGGCAATGTATATATAGTTACTCCGTCTGAAAGAGGGGAGGAGCACAAATGCACAGGACATCTGAGTTTTATATGGATTACAGAGGTCACCAGAATGACAAGGCCACCACTAATTTATTAATACAGTTACAAAATTAGTGTACTTTCATCTAATTTTAAGTCTTCTCAGACTGACCTTAGCAAATGGTGCAGTTGTCATCACAGAAGTGAGCAACTTTCTCTCGTAGCCAGGAGTCAGATCTTCACAGCACTAAAAATATAAAAGAAACGTTGAGTCAGAATGACAGTTTGTTGTTTCATGTAATAAAGAATAACGAGTGAAAAATAGGCAGAAAGAGCCATTTCAGCCTGTTCAGGAGTCAACATTAGGTACAAAAAAATACAAGATGTCTTTGGTACTGAGAGAGCAGCATCAGGGTCACGGGAGACACGGTATCTCAGTCTCTGTTGGGTATCTCTGCTTGTAGTTGGCAGATCTGTACTGACCCACTGCACTGACATCAGAACAGCAGCACAGCCAGCCTTGAGGTCACACCTCCCAGCTCCTCCCCAGGAAGATGCCATCCTTGTCATAGGTGACTGCAGAATTTAGCCAATGTGAAATCCACCAGAAAAAAAGACTTTTCTATCCAACAATAAGCAGAAAGTTATTTTTTTAAAAGGCAAAAGGCTGCATCTTTGGAAGATCGGTTTACCTTTGCCATGAGATCTGAGTGTTGGCCAGAAGATGTGGATGGAGGAAGGCTGTGTGCATCCCACCTGCCTCTCTGCTCCCTTTTGCAGGTGAGCTGGCAGAACTTCCCCACTAGTTCCTACAACAGCCACAAGAAGTTGAAGCTGATGGTAGCTATGAATGCTTTTTGTGGTACTTTACAGAAAAATTAGAGGCTGTACTATCTCCCCATTCAGTCTAGCCAAGAGCACCCTGCTTGTGAGCAGGGACCATTACTGGCAGTGGGAATCACCTTTGGAGTAAAGTGGTTTTCCTCAGCTAAAGAGAAGCAGCTCCTTTAGCTCTCATAGACAGTGCTTGACTCTGAGCTGTGCTGCCACAAGGTACACTGCTCTTAAGAACTGGGAAGGTAGGGAAGTAATCCTTAGAAGAAGTGGAAGAGGCATTAGTCCTGCAGGACAAGGAACTCCTGGATACTGTACAAAATCTGCTGTGGATGCTGCTCAGCAACACTGCACTGGCACCAGGGCTGGAGCCCCTGTGAGACAGAGGGTGCAGTATCCATGTGCAGTGTCCCAGAAGCTGTGCCAGGCTGCTCTGAGGCTGAGTCTCAATGAACCCCTTGAGCACTTTGCCACTGTAGCTACTCCTGTGCCTGGTTCAGGGAAATGTGCCTCTTTTGGATAGGTCCAGGAAGATTCATGTCTACATCTGCCTTTGGTAACTCATCAAAACTAACAGCATGGAAATGTTTTCTTGCAGTTCCTGTGGCATCTTCCTGGCAAGGTCCTTTGTGGGTTGAACTCTTCTACCTTATATTTCTTAGTAAACTTTTGCAAATCCAAATAATCATGTAGGATTTTATATTTACAGTGCAAGGGTAGACCTACCTATGCCAGTATTACCTGGGCATCCTGAGCATTCAGTGCAGATAGTCCAGAGCTGGGCATCACTTCCAGTCCTGTCACAGACACACAGCTCTCCAAACAGTGTATAAAATGTGAAGGAAAAGACCGTGGGCTTGGAGGTGCGTTGGGTGTGAGACCCTGCCCAGGGACAGGCTTTGGAGAACTGGACCCCCATGCTGTGAGCCACTCATTCTTTATTCCTGGTTTGGGGAAATCCTCTTCCCTCCCTAAAAGCACTGCCAGATTCCTTTGGGATGCCCCAGTCCCTGAGTGCAGAAAGGCCACACAGCCCATAAGAGGAGCAGAGCGGGTCAGGCTGTGCTGGTGGTGCCCGGCTGTGCTGTGGGCAGCACGTGGAGTGGGGGGTCACACAAGGTGTCCCTTCCCAGCACTATCACTAGTGGACAGCAGTGAATTTCTCTTGCCTACAGAAGACCCCTTTTATCCCCTCTACTTGTTACAGCACAACAAATTCCTTTTCTTGCCCTGCCTGACAAGAGGTGCCCAGACTCCCTAAGGCTGAACGTGCACTTTGCCCCTTGGCACCAGCACACCTCAGTTCCCAGTGTCCATTACAGACCCTTCTTCCAGGTGCTCAATCCAAGTGTGGAATAGACATGGGATGAGAGTCTTATATTAGAACTAACCCAAACACCTTAGCTTAACCCAGGCAGTTAGGACCAGGTCACCTTGTCCTACAGAGCACGTGATGCTCCAGCACAGCCCAGATTTCCACACAGCCACCTCAAGTGTGGCTGTGTCATTCTGGGAACAGTAGTGGAAGAGCTGTTTCATTTGAAAGCAGGTTGTCTTCTCACAAAATGAAACGTGAATATAAAGTTTATCCTGTTTATTTTAGGGCAAATGACGACTAGCAGGAGTCACTAAGGAGCTGCGTTCCATGCAGTGGGCTAAGAGCTGGCTGTGGGGGAGGTCGGGGTGGTGTGATCCTGGTTTTGTTTGTTTTGTGGCAGTACTGTTTTGGCCCGGGGGTGCAGCCCATCGAACTCCTGTGATTCAGGATACTGTCAGGCTACTGCAAAGCCCAGTGAAGGCTCTCGTGAATGTAATGGGCTTTGCATCCAGCCTCAGGAGCACTGCTCTCTGCTTCCAAAAATGAAGGACTGCTTTTTCTGTCACTGTACCATCTCTTCTGGGTTTTACTGTGGAATTTTCTTAGCACATATTCGCTTGATTGCCCTTACAAATAATACCTTATTTTATAGTGACCATGAACCCAGATATTCTAAAACTGGTTTTTCAGGGCCCACTGAAAACAGTGGATGACTTTCCATTGCCTTCAGTAAGCACTGGGTGCTCCTGTTCCCTCAACAGCATTTCATTTTTCCTTAGCATTGCATGTTTTCCTTTGCTTGAAAAAGAGATCCATGGCACCAGCAGATGCCAAGTGAATGTTTGGTAGGGCACTGCACACACCTCTGTAGTGAACATGGTTGGGTGGTGGACTGTGTTGATTCAGTGTCCAGCATGAAGATTTCAGGAAATTTGGGACAGGTTTTCTTTTAATTTAGGCCACTAACCCCTATAGGTTTAAACTGATCCCCTGCTCAGTATCCAGGGAACTTCACTGATTGACAGAGAAAAGCAGTAGTGGTTCAGCAGAGAGTGCTGGTTTTGGGGAAGGGCGAGAATACCTTCCATCAGGGGACCAGGCTTTGGGGCTGATGCTCTCTTACCTGAGAGAAGGTAGTGCAGCCAGTGCCCAGCTCTTTGCCTGGCCTGTTCCCAACGCTGGTTGTTTGCAGCATACCTTCTGTACAATTTCTTCTTTAATCTTCCTGTTGTTTTTCATCTTCAAGCTGTGTCCCGTGAGTGTGTTTGTTGCCCTCATTTCTTCCCACTTGCTCTTATCCCTCTTGCTCTCTGCTCTGGTCTTTTTTTCCCCTCCCTTAGCAGTGTGTGCATTGTCCCAGCCTTAACAGACATCAAAGAGATGTAAAGCATTGGATGTCCCTTTTGTAAGGCGATAACCTTGCCGCTGTCACTGTGAATATTCATACGTCTCCAGGCTGCAGGCAGCCCTGGGGTGAGGGAGCACCTCAGCTAACGGTGGTGGGTCTGTGGTGCCAAATTTGAACAGAGCTAACTGCTTTGGTTCAGTAATACCCTGCAGCAGCAGATTTTACAGGTTAATTCCAAACCACTCTGAAGAGTCGCACCTTTTTGTGCTGCATGTTCACTTCATTCCCTCTCTTCCCTGAGTCCCTGGGCAGCAGCACACCCGTTATTTTTCATGGAATTTGAGTGCCCATTTCTTGATTATTCCTTGTCATGCCATTCTTTCCAGTCCAGATGATTCCAGTCATTTCACTCTTGTGATTTTTTTGTTTCATTTCACTGGTGTAGAACCAGCCTTTGTTCCAGGTGTTCCAGCATACTCCACAAAAGTCAGGTACTGTCTTACCTGGGGTGCAGCATTTGCATCTTTAAAGAGGTGCAAGAGCCAGGAAAGCAAACAGCAGGTCTTTGCTGGTGCTGTGCTCTTTTTGCTCCTCTTCCCCTCAGGAGGCTGAAGGGGGTGGTGTGGCCAGTGTAAGCAGAGTGCTCAGTGGGGGAGTCTCCTTCTCCTTCTTCTCAGGCTTGGCCTGGTGGGCACTGCTGCCTCCCTGAGTTGGGGGGGCTGACACCATTTGCCTCCACGTACTCTCACATGGCTGAGGTGGAAAGATGTGTCAGAAACCTGATGAAAGGATGTGCATCTGATGAGGATGTGCAGCAGATATCTCAATCACTGAACTGGGAACTGGATCAAATTGGGAATTTGAATTGCCCAAAGCTGAAATGAGGTGATGGACAAATGGCAGAGAAGAACAGCTTCTTTTAAGCTATTGGAGTGCACAGCTGAGCTCCCAGCCAGCAGGATGGTCACTCCCTCCATATAATTTACCAGGCTCCGAAGTATGCTTTAAATACATAAATAGTCATGAAATGCAGGGAGCAGCTGAGCTGCTGCAGCTGAATTTCAGCCTCAGCAAAGACAGGTGAGAAGTGAAGCTGAACTGACATCTCCATCTCGTAACATGTGTGAGAGGCGACAGCGAAGCCTGAGATCTGTTGTAAGATCAGAAGTATCTGAGGCCAAGACTGAAGATTAGGGCTTGGAACATCTTCTCTTACATCAGTAGGCTTTGTTTATTGCAACCAGCTATTTTGATTTCTTAATCCAAGACTAAAGCCTTCTGGCATTGAGCTTGTGGGATAATAAATGAAAGGATAATTCAGTGCAATGGGAACTTCATGGTCAGCTCAAATAGATTCAACACTAACACCATGTGGTTTTCTGTGTAGGTGTAAGATGAAGATATGTGGATACCTGTTGCCTTTGCGCTCTTGCTGACAGTACATAAGCCTAAGTAGGTCAAACCAGGAACAATACTCGTTTTTGAAAGAGAACTATAAGCATTTCTAGTTTCTCTCTCTCCCTCTCTTTTCTTTTTTTTTTTTCCTCCCAGGACTTTAATCTTTTATATGAAGAAGCAAAGTATTACCAGCTGCAGCCAATGATTAAGGAACTTGAGCGATGGAAACAAGAGAAAGAACAAAGGAAACATTTCCAGCCTTGTGACTGCTTGGTTGTAAGAGTGACTCCAGATCTGGGGGAGAGAATTGCATTGAGTGGGGAGAAGGCTTTAATAGAAGAGATCTTCCCAGAGACTGGGGATGTCATGTGCAACTCTGTAAACGCAGGCTGGAACCAGGACCCAACCCACGTTATCAGGTTTCCCTTGAACGGATACTGCCGGTTGAACTCAGTGCAGGTAATGAATGGCCTCTTGGTGCTGGCTCATCCATTTGCTGGGGTGGTTTTTTTATTATGTCTTGTTCAATTATATGCAAATTATTTGCTTCTGCCCAATTACTTTCAGTGCTTATACTGCAAGGAGACATTTTCTGCCTGGTGAGATCACAGTCTTTCAGGTTTTCCTAAGTCTAAGCAGAAAAATAGATTTAGATTTTGTGTATGTTAGTGCCATGCTGGTCTCATAATGGTGTTATACTGATAAATGCTAATTTTTTCATCAATGTATAGCCTTCAGCAGTTTTTTTTTTTCCTCCAAAGTGCCTGCAGGAAGAAAGAGAGAGTTCCAAAAACTACAAAAAAAAATCTCCACACCATTTTATAGAAAATGCAACAATGTGTAAATGCATAATTTATGTCTCACTCATAATTAAATGATGGTGCCTGCGGGATGGACTTAAAAAAATTGATCTCTGCACTTTTTTTTTTTTCAAAAGGATGTTCTATAAAAATTGCCCAGAGTATTTTAAACAAAATGTATTTCATTTTATACTCAGAGTTTTGACGTTAGGTTTAAAATTAAACATGTGAAACAAAAGAAGATAACTGGACAGATAGGTGGATGGCAGCAGAAATAAATACATGGCCTGTGTTTAGGCAGCTGCCTGAGGGACAAGCAGTGCCATTTCCCAGGGATCATCACCACAACAGCCAGAGCTCCATGGTGTGGCTGTCCTGGGGCTGTGGAGAGGAACAGGGGTGATGATGCCATTAACTTGTGCCTTAATTAACAAGGGCAAGACAGAGCTCTTAGTTTGTGTCTGCCTTTGGAACAAGCTGCAAATACTTGTGTTATGGAAAGGGAAATCAACCTGTAGGGGAATATTTCCAAACATACCATCTGCTGTGGCTGCAGGTGTGAACTGTGCCTTTGTGGTCTTGGTAAACTCCCCTGTGGGCAAATAGCTGCAGAAGAGCCCATGGCCCAGCCTGGCCGGGGTGGATGGGGAGGTGCAACAGCCAGGGAGGACAAGAACCTAGAGGTCCTGTGTGGTTATTACACATCGGCTGAGGGGCCCTCCACCTCCCAAGTTGCCAGGTGACAACATTTTCGGGAGACCTGAATATGTAAAGATGGATGGAGTCGTTTTAACACCCTGAATTTGATGGTGACACCCCCTTCCGTGGGGCAGCATTCCCTGGTGCAGTTTGCACTGACATTGTTGTCTGAAACCATCCTAAACCCAGCTGCTTTGGATGATTTTTGGTTTGAGACTCCCAAGTGGTGTATTCGGTTGAACTTTAACAGCCTGTGGTTAATTCTGCACAGTCCTTTAGCAGTTTGATGTCTGGCAAGGTTTGGAGTGGGCTGCCCCGAAAGCAGCGGATGGTGAGAGGCAGCCCCGTGCTCTGGCAGTGGGACAGGGACAGTTCATCCCCGTGCTGGGGGAGGAGGGAGCAGCTGCACTTTAGCTCAGGTAGGTGGAGAGGGAAGAGCATTTGTGCCTGAGCCACGCTGTCCCTGTGATCCAGTTAGATGCACACAAGGAATCAGAATAACTGCAACAACAAAGGGTCCCTGTGAGCCACTCACCAGCTCAGCACTGCCAGCGGCCTGGCAAGGCACTGGGTGCCCACACGGCTTAGCATGGCCCTCTTTTATCCACAGCAGTGGAACTAGTAGGGTACGTGTGCTTGTAGGAAAAGCTGCACGCTAATTACTGTTATTATTTGAATGTGTTTTGAATTCAGTCAAAATTCAGTCAGAATCAAAGAGTTCACATTGTAAAAAAAAAATCTCTGTCAAAGAGTCTGCAGTATAAGTAATACTATTAAATTACATCATTTTACTAAATTACATCATTTTACTATATAATTAATATAAAGTGTTTTCAAACACTTTCTGGAAAACTATGCATTTCTTAGACCAAAGGCTGATGAAATCAGCAGCTAATTATCATTGGCTCTGATGAACTCTGGTCAGTGCACAGGCACTGCTTCTTCCCCTTCCCAGGATTTTTTCGCAAAATAATATTAAGTCAGAAGTTGGAAGTACAGTGAAACAAACACACAGACTTAAGGGAGATGGGTAGTGGGTGGAAGAGCACAATTGCTTCCAAAAACTCCCAGAGAGCAACACAGGAAGCCTGTCTGCTATTTGCTGAGATACTTCTCTTCTGTCTCCCTGTGCCCTGCTGAATGTATTTGGTAGCAGAATTGCACTCTTTATACATTTTCTTTTTATATTTTAAGAATATTTTTATTAAATGGTTTGTATCAAGAACTGTGCCTATAGAACAAAAAATGTCAACACTGAATAGGTAGTGGTAGGCAAAAAAATACAGTAACTCTTAATTTTAGACCCATTTGTAATTATATAAAGGTATAGAGGTTTTTTCAAGTCCTTGCAACAGGTTCTGGTGAGAATCATGAGTTTACCTTAGAGAAAATTCTATGATGCTTGGGTATGTTGAACATTAATTAGGAATGTGTTTGTTAGTATTCTGCAAAATTTACATGAAATGAAGTAAGGGAAAGGATCATGTTTCCATTTGGAAAACCTTCCAACAAAATCAGATGCACTTGGAATACTGGAAGACAGCGTATATGAAATCCTAGCACAAATCCTTTATTTATTACTGTGTGTGTCCCCCAGACACAGGAGAGTCACAGCTGAGACTCACTTATGGCATATTCTCTTTGGAGATTTTCAGGAAGGTAGCTCTGATTTGATTTCAGAGATGGTTACTCTTTCCCCTGTCCATATCTTACTTTCAGAAGAAGTGATGTGCATAGAGTCAAATTCTCTTAAGTGGAATTTAAACCTGTCCACGTTCAAAATGCTGCTGAGTCTCGAGCACGTGCCAGTGTGTACAAACCAGTGCCCAGCACCCAGGGCAGCCCTGCAGGAGCCTTGCTCTTAGACCTGAGCTCGGCCTCATCCAAGTGACACTTAAAACTCTGCAATATTTAAACATTCTCTGCATTGTTTACAGAATTCGGCCTGTTTTGTTTCGTGCTGAGAAAATTGATGATGCCAAGGTTTTTAACCCTGGATTGTGGCCTGCAGTGTGTCCTTCCCGCACGCACCGAGCACAAACGAATCGCTTTGTTCTGTGCGGTGCTCTGAGGAGTAATGTCTACCTGGACTGTGTGTGTGCAGAGAGCAGGCTCAGTGAAAAAGAATCCTATGTTAACATGCAGCCTTCCATAGCTTTGGTCTGAGGCAAGCCAAGGGCACCCCCGTGCTTGTTTTGTCTTACAAGCAAATTGATTTTTAAAAGTTTTTAGCAAGGATTTTGAAGTCCCGTCTCTCTCAGAAATCTTAGCTGTCAATCCTCTGTTTCACTCTCCAGTTCAGTGGGAGAAGCCTCCTTTCCCGTGGCTGGGTTGTCTCTCATCTTCATCTTGCCAGGGCTAGGAGCAGTGATACATAATACACTCAAAATACACTCCCAGCCTGCTGATGTCTTATTCCTCCTTCCGTCTCAGGCTCCTCCTGCCTTCCTCTCTGAGGAGGAACAAGTGTCAGTGTCTTCACCCTGTTTCTGTCCTACAGAGCCCACACAGCCCAGACAAATAAGGGAGATGAAAGCTTTCTCTCTCTGTCTTTTAAATGTATTTTGATAACCCACTCTCCTGCCCCTTCTTTTCATCTCTCCCAGTTCATTATTCTTCCATACTCTGGTGTTGTTTTTTGATCTTTCAGTTCTACAACATTTTTACTGTGTAGAGTGTGTAAAAATCAGGGCAAAAGTCAGGGAGATTTGGCAGATGTGACTTTCTGAGAACGTTAAGTCCCCATGTCCCAAGGCCAGGCAGAGCTCCTCAGGCAAGTTGATTTGCAGCACACTCAGCGTGGCTCAGGCAGAGCTGTGCTGGAGCAGCCTCTTTCCTTTGCCTGTCCTTAGCAGCCAGGGGAGTAAAAGTAAAATGTTTTAGTTACCACTGAAAACCCAAACCCTGGGTTGGGTGCAGATGGTTAGCACAGGCGGCCTCTAAGGAGGGACTGAACAGATGAAAGCCAGTAAATGCTGCTGCCGTGGTTTGCACTGCACTGCCACACCACCTCAGACACAGCTGTTCTTCTGAAATCATGTTCCTGGAAAAAACAAAGCCAACATTCAGGCTTTGCACTAAGAAATGCACTGTGGCCTCACGTGGGTCTGTGTGTGAGGGTGAGGGCAGTGGTCTGGAGTGCAGTCTCCAAAGTCAGTGTGACTGCTGGTGTGCTCAAGGGGCTGGGGGAACTGAAAAAGAAATTAAATTCTTTCTACAACCTGTGCCCATGAAAGTGGGCCGAAGGTGGGTATATTGCTTAGACACTTCTCTAGGCTGAGTGAACAAGTGGCTTGGTCCCTGTTGCTGAGGGTGGCTGTCACATGGGGATGCTGGTGTGGCCAAGGCCGTCAGGTTCAGTTCACTTCCCACGTGCCACAGCAATGGAAGCAGTACCTTGGGTGAGGCCCTTGGAGAACAGCGCAGGCTGCTCCCCTTGACAACATTTATCACACAGAAAACCACAGGAACTGCTCTTCCAGGCTGCTGCCCTGGACTAAGGGGAGCACCACGGCATCTCCTCTGGTGGGTCCTGCACTGCAGATCTGCCAAAGGAGGATCTGGCATCTGCTCTCACCTAACTCTGGGAGAAGCCTGTGTGCGTCCTGCTCTGCTGGGAAACCGAATATCAACACGCTCACACATGTGAAAACACGGCCCCGATCACACTGCCAAGATCAGCATGTCCTGGGGTAATGTGCTGTGTGACAGTCGCAGAAATTAAAGTTGCCTCTGGGTTCCTTAAATTCATGCATCTAAATTGCACTAACTTTTCTTTAGGAGGAGAAAGAAAAAATACATATTTGGGCAATACAGATTAACCTCTTTCTTGGGCCAGAACATTTCCCTGTTGTCCACGTCCTGGCTCTGCGTCCCATCCCTGCCATACTTTGCTTCCAGTGAGGGAGACCAGCTGCCATTGCCAGGAAAATCTGGTGGATGTGTCATTCAGGCTCTTGATACATTTTCATCTGCCAAGGAAGAGCTTTTCAGCCCCTCTCTGTAAAATTGTTCATATTACTAATGAATAATGGGCACTTCTTATTACAACTTAAACCTGATGTTGCTTTCTATAAGCAGTAAGAGATAGCATCAATATCACCACAGTCCAGTATTTTACTATATAATGTACTAAGCTGCTCTGCAGACTGCTTATTTCTTTGATTAATTTTTGTTTTCTGCAGAGGTTTGCTGAGAGCGAGACTTTAATCACAGTATAGTCATTTAACAATAAGTTATAGAATTATAGCTGAATAATATTCATTCACAATGAGGACTGGAAAGACTAAATCCATCATTTAGATCTGGTGCTTCTGACTGCTTTTATCACTAAAATTTGCTAAATATTAATCTGATTTTTCCCCCCCCCCACATTGCAGGTGCTCGAAAGATTATTTCAGAAGGGATTTAACGTGGCAGCTTCCTGTGGTGGTGGGGTGGATTCCTCTCAGTTCAGTGAATACGTGCTGTGTCGCGAAGACAGACGACCACAACCCACCCCAACAATCAGAATAAAACAGGAGCCCCTGGACTAGACCCTCCCTGTACCCCCTTTGTAACCGTAGAAGTGTTTAATAGTCCCTTATGTGAAACACTAAGGATTTGCAAAACAGTATTAGCAAACAGACTTTGACTTTATGTTGCCAATTAGTGGTATTCTGAAACTACCTGTCACATAGCCAGCCACGAAATGCATTTGAGAAGCCAGTTGTCCGTTCGTCACGGTGGAGTTCCCGAGCGCTCAGCACAGCAGGTCTCTGGGATGGACTTTGGGCTCAACAGCACTGCTGTGGAACAGGCAAAGCTTTCTAACCCCCTGACCCTGCACTGGACTGGACTTCTGCAAAGACCAGTTAAAGCAGTTGGATGGATCAGCAGGAGCTGTGGTTCTGCCAGCCTTCCCAGGGACACCCCAGTGCTGTGACACGTGGACGTCTGTGAGAGGAAGATGGAACGCTAAAAACTGCACTGAGACTCTTCCCTGACTGCCACACCTCCATATCAGACGTGCTTTACACCTCCAGGCACCACGGGGCACCTCTGTGATTGTACTCACCCACACTAGCAAATGGCTTATTTTTATACGACATTTCCAACTGAAGTCTCTCTCTGTGGACAGGATCCAGAATCAGAAAAGGACCGATTTATAGTCAACTGGTGCTCAGTACTAAAAACCCCACACAAACCAAACAAAAAAAGTGACAAAAAGTTAGACAAGGCCGATTATGGCAATATTTGCAACAGTAGGGATCTGGAAGCACAAAATAAAATGCCATCCACCATCACACACAAGGGTCACATACCCGACACGGAGCTGTAGCTCTCTTAAAGCCAGTCTTGTTTTGACACAGAAGCTGTTTAAGTTTTGCATCATCAAAGAAACGTGGTTCTGCCAAGCAAGCTCTGCCACCCCTCGTTAATCATTTACTAACCATGTTAGAAGCCCACATTTAGGAGGAAAGTGTAAGAATTTTGGACAGGCCTAACTCTTTATGGGTCTGGAATTCTTGCAAAGAGCTGTTAAAACCCTGTACTGCCACTGTCGGATGAAAGCAGGCCGCCTTTCGTTTAAATTGTTTTATTAATTTAAATTATTATTAAAATATTAGTTCTGTAGCCGCCCTCTATCTGTGTACCTTTCTCTGTAACGAAGCCAGAGGTCTGCAGGAGGGTCCTGCTACTGCCAGGAATTGGCATCGACTCACAGGGCTCCCTAACTCAGGAGACAGCGCCGCGTTCGCAGGTGCGAGGTTATAAATAGCATTCTGCAAAATCCTCTTTGTTGCTGTTCAGCATGATTGGGTCCTCAATAACTAATTCATGTGTTAATCACAATTTAGTTTCTCCCACATTAATTTATAGAATACTGTTGTAGATGCTGAATCTTAATTAAACTCTTTTTAGATGCCTAAATACGGCCATATAGAACAAGGGAGAGAGTATTAGGTGGTCGACAGTTCTTCAGTGCCAGTTGGTTGCAATCAGGCAAAATTTAAAAAGTCACATTTAAGACTAATATTTTCAAAAGCGATGAGCTGTACTGACTATCCAAGGAACAATCTAGGCAGGGGTCTAATTTTTGGAAAAGGGCTGGATACCTGTCCATGGAAAATCAGACCTCTGCAGGTTTCCTCACCTTGGTCACCCAACTCAGAAATCTCTAATGGCAATCCTGGCCGGTTGGCCTGCTACCTTAGCAGAACAGTTGAGCAAATCTGTCTACTTTAAGAGTTGTAAAGTTATTTTATTTTGTGGTTTTATACTTGTACGACATTCTAAAGTCGCTAGGCATTGCCATATTTGAATATATGGCACAACATTCACCTTTGTATGTAAGATATCTGTAGAATTGTATATTATACATTTAATATTGTAAAGAACTTAACGTATAATTGTCATGTATTTGTGTATGCACATTTCTTATACAGTACTTCATGCCATAAACATTTCTGTAAAGTAAACGAACAAAAATAAGCACGTAGGGTGGAACACTCACTGTATCTCCCATGTTGTTTGAAAGAGGTGAGAATTTTTGATTGTGTCTTCTCCAGCCTTTAGCTCCATTCAGCTTGATGTAGCCATGTCTCACAGAAAGGAAAAAAAAGGTCTTTTTATTTATTACTTTCATACATTGAGTTCCCTTTCAGTCCAAAGTATCCTTAACTAATCTGTTCAGGTTCCTGTTTGTCCTGTATCCACCCTGCCCCCCTGACCAGGGTGAGTGGCACTCTCAGCGGCTCTGGCAGCTCATCCCCTCCTGTTCTTACCTCAGCCAGGGAGCAAAGGGGACCCCTCCTGGGGACATTGGATCACAGGGGCCCAATCCTGCCCCTGGTGCTCAGCCAGGCCTGCCCAGCCCAGGGCTCTGCCCACAGGACCGGGCACTGAGCACCCGTGGGCAGCTCTCACGGGCACCGGGGGGATGATGCTTCTGGACACGTGTAGGACATTGGAAGCATTTGTGGTCGGTTTTTCCTCAGTTTGGTGTTTACCGTGGTTTTTTTATGGCTCAATGAAGCAGCTCCAGTACTTGGGGCAGCTTTGCTGAGGTGGCACTGGAAAGGGTTCCAGGCTGCACCAGCCGAGAGTTAAATGTGAAACTCGAGACGGAAAGTTTGAACCATGACATCACAGCATTGACTGCAAAATAGCACCAAGGCAAGGAAGACATGTGGAAACAATCACTTTCTTAGAAGAAAAATGCCTTTAAAAAAAATAATTGTTAAGCTAGGACATGTTCTTTTAGTTAGTAACTTCAGGTCACTTATTTAAAGATTATTACAGTTTCATTTATATCTTTTTTACTTATTTCCCTGTATTTTTAGGCAGCAATATCAACGAAAACTGATTTGAATTTTTACTTCTGGCCTTAAACCATAGTAACATAACTTAATGGAGAACATTGCTCAGCTTGGCTAAGAGAGGTTTCAAAATGCCACAGCCACTCCAGCGAGGCCCTGTGTGCAGCCAGCAGATGTTTCTACTGCAGAGGCTGAGAAGCTGAGCCTGGTTTTTCACCTAATTCGATTGAACCAAACTGTTGTGATTCGCTGTTGCCGAGCACTGACCCCGTGGCCCCCCAAACACGAGCCCTCCCCAGCACTTTGTGTGCAGGGCTGTCCCAGCCCCGTGCTCCCAGCGCAGGCAGAAAGGGAAGGAGAATGTTCTGTTGTGCTTATTGGACTCGTGGCTCCCCAGAAAGCAACTGCTGAGTGCATCCATTCTCTGTGCTAATGGCATCGAGGTTTGTTGACAATTTTATTAGATGTTTCACAAAGGATAAGAATCAGCACAACAAAACATTGAAGTATTTGGGTTTTAATATTTCTTTGTGGGTATTCTGTTAATATTTTGATGCAAAATGTTTTCTGACCAGTGCTAAAGAACTACAAAACAATGTGAAATTCATGTTTGATAAATTAATACTGTATGTCACTCGATGTGTTACTTTAGTAAATTGTTTTATTTCTTTACAAAATAAGTACAAATAAGGGAGTATGTTTTCACACAAATTGGGGGTATTTACGAGTATGTACAGAAATCATCAAAATAACGTAACTCTAATAAACACAAGGCCTTTATAAACAATATGTACAAATTATCAATACATTTAAAACATAACTTTACACTTCCTGGCCTTAAATACCTTATGAATAATCTTTTGGCTAAATAGCAGCAGTATAAATTTTCTTCTGCTTTTCATAAACCTTAAAAAATAATTAAAACCTTTGTTTTTAAAACTATTGGACAAATAGTTCTATTTGTGCTTTTGCTATGGTTTCCCATCAAAAAAAAAAAATATTGCCTCAAAAAAGTGGCAAGCATAACATAGTAAAAATGGAAAAGATAAATAAGCAAATGTCTCCCTTCATGGTGACTGGTAACACTGTTAAAGTCTGAAATACGACTTGTGCCCACCTGCCTGTGACTGCTCCTCTCCGATCCCCATTTAAAGACTCACACTGACCTCACTCGGCTTTGGTGTGGGCCCAGAATTCCGCTTCAGCAAAGCATTTAAAAAGCATTCCTCCCACCTTTTAGCTACTTACAACTATTCCTTACGCTTAAAGCCTGTTCATGAGCCTCTCAGGATCATGAGCCTCTCAGGACTGGAATCCAAGGCATCGCCACCCCTGGTGGCACCGGGATTCTCACCAGTCCCAGAGTGGAACTGACCTCCAAAAACCTTTAGAGCGGCTTTAAAAATCCATATAGAATACTCTAAAAATCTTTACTGAACAATACTCTCTTTTAAAACCACCATTAAACCATACTCTTTGCAATAAATAAATTAACATCTTTTAGAAAATAAAACCCAACTTTGAATCATGTTACTAACCAGCTGCTACAAATGCACAAAAGGCTGAAGGGGTTTAGAAAACAACTGGAAGCTAGTCAAGGTAACTCAGCTGAGACCCAAGCACACAGACTTCATACACTTAGGATTTGGTTCAGCAAATGGCTCAGGAAATGAGCTGTGCAGTAAAAGCAAAAATCCCAAATATATAGAATTTGTGAGAGTGTGCTAGTCTCTTGGCTGTGCAAAAAACTGCCGTTGTAACTAAGCTAAAACAACACCAGGTATCACCATGGTTAGTGAGACAGCGCCAGTAAACGAAGAAGGAAAGCCCAACCCCACAGGTGAACACACAGAACACCAGGGGTGGGCCCAGTCCTGTGACCTGTCCCAGTCCTGGCCAGGAGATGCTTTAGGTGAGCCATTGCAGCAGCCTTGCATTTGTGACTGCAACACCAGCTACTTCAGCCTTACCTAAAATGGCCAAATGGAGCAAGACTTGCATGTTGGTTATATCTGTGGAGTTAACATTTTAAAACCTTTTTCACTTTTTTTTTTTTTTGGTGGTTTTTATATTACTTTTTTTTTACATAAAGGAAATTTATTGCATGTGTCTGACAATTTTACAAAACAAAATTACTGGAACATTGACTTCTGAAAAAAATAGAAGGCACATTAAAATGACAGCTTTCAATGCAAGTTGAGCTTCTGTATGGAGCAATCAGTACAACTGTTGGCTTTATTTAAGCAGAGCTCGATAGAGCAGGAGAGAATGGCTCATTTCTCGTTCCTGTTCCATGTAGAAGATGAAGTCCCTGAGGTTTACACGTGTTATTTTCTGTCGTGGATACTGCCTGGGGGAAGCAGTGCCCAGGCCAGCCTGACTCCCACCAGACACACCGAGACCCTGCAAAGAAAACATGGCAAACTCGTAAGTCCTGCAGCACTAAAGAGTTCCCTCATGCTCAGGTTTACAGCTGCTGACTGGATTCTTTTAAACTTCTTCAGTGGATTACTGAGCCTCATTCTCAAAGCATTACATGTAATGTTTTTTATCATTATTCTTCTTACCGCGTTTCACCAAATTAACCCGAGTAAAGAACTCAAGTGCAAACATGTGAGACAACACCTTGTTCACTTACAACTCAGGACAAATCTGTCCAGTTCTCCTGCTACAGTCGTGTTCCCTGTAGATGTATTTGACCAGTTTAAATTCAGGAGCCTTTTGAGGACCAAGCTATTTGCAGCAGATAAAGCCATGCGTGCACCATCCTCCTGCACATCCCAGCACTGGAAACAGGTGAGTGGCATATTGGGATGTTGCTACTCTGCAGGTGCAGGTCCCACAGGGGACCCCAGCTCTCTCCTCTGGGTCTGCTGAAGAAAAGGGCTCAGTGTGGGGAGATTCTCAACTCGAGCAGACAACCAAAAATTCAATAAAAAAATCACAAAGACTTAGACATTGTGTGATGATAAAGACAAACAGTATACTTGTTTCTACAGCTTTATTAAATAATTATATATTTTTTAATTGGTATATAAGTACTGAATTACTGAATACCTCATCCTGACTTTGTATATGGAGAGAAAATTCCCAAACTGGGCCCTAAGGATGCTGTGAATCTGAACGTTTAGAAATGGAAAGGACCTAATTACAGCCTCTGCAGTCTCATGGAGTTTAAACTGAAACCTGGTGCACACATACAGTTCTTTTTTCATCTGTAGGAGTCCATTGTTTTTATTAATTCCAATTGGTTTGTAGCAAAATAAACTGTTCTAACTTAGAAAAATAGGTTTTAATCTCTAAAAAGATTTAAGCTATGTTTCAAACCTGTAAGACATCTGGTAAAATTTTCAGTACTTTTAATATCCCCAAATTTACTTAGTGCTGCTCAAACCTACCTTTCTTTCCCCGGGAAATACTTATTCTAGGATCTTCACTCCAGCCATTAAGTACACAGTGAAGGGTAATTTTACTATTGAAAGGTTGTAGGGGAAGCGTTTATGGTCTGCTGAGACATGGCACTCTTCCTCTTGTGTACCATAGTCAGTCAGACTCCTTGCAGAACTGCACCATCCATGTTATTTCTCCTATACCTGCTTATTAAATTACAGCAGTGGGGCAAATCCTGTTCTCCTGTAACCACAAACACAAAAGGCTTAATGGAGTGCAGTGAATGTGGCTCAGCTTGCAGGGAATAGTGGGAGAAGCCCACAACCTTTGAGCACCGTGAGCATCTGAGCTGAGGGATTCTGTCCTCCAGTATGGAGTAGTTTGTGTTAATTAATTGATTGAGCACCGACCCTCCCTGCTCACAGGAAAGCAGCTGCAGCTGCAGGGGCTGCTCATCTCTGCTGGAGCCAGACACATGCCCAGTGCATAATCCATGTATTTACTGGTGCTCCGAGTTCAGCCTTTACACCAAACCCCTTTGCATTCCTGAAAGAAAAAGGATCATTTAAGCCCTTAACTCACCACTTCCCACAGGCTGGAACAACATCGACCCTTAACCTGCCTCCCAGCTGCACCCTGACCACACACCCACTTTGCCAGGGCTGTGCCCACTCTTTCTAACCCTTCAAGAAACCACTGTGTATATATTTATTTTAAATCAAGCTGACTCAAAAATATTTTTCCTTCTTCTCTGTTCCCCACATGGTGCATCTCTCCCCTGCCCACAGTACTACTTATTTCAGGTTCATCCTGACTATGGGACCTGGACAGTGACAAACACACTTGAAAGAAATGTGGCCACCTTAAACTCATTAGAAACCAGTGTCCATAGCATTCTGGACTAGAAGCATCCCACACACACTTACCAAATAGTAACAGAAAAGCTAAATAATTTTTAAAAATTTTCTTCATATGAAACTATTTCTTGAATCAGTTGAGTTACATTTACAGCAAGTAACTGCTCTCTGTTTGGACAGAGTAGCTGGAATTAAGATGTACCAAGTCACATTCATTGCTTTTATCACTTGAGATACCGAACTGTTACGTAGGAAGAACACAACCAAACGTGATATGAAGCTGTGCACATTGGTAACCACACTTGTGAGCCCATCAGCTACCTGATCGTGTTCTGGAGTTGTTTTACAAGGTGAAAAAAAATCATAAAAATTATTTTAGAAATACAGAAGCACATCTGTAAGCTGACAAAACAGTAATTTATATCTGTCAGTATATAATATTGACATATATCATGTCAATCACTAAATTAAAGACCAATTTGTTTAGTACTGCATTGTACTCAAAATTATTCTGCAGATGCTATATATGAGAAAAGGAGACTACTAAATGCTACAATTATTTAATTGTATGCATGAATTCAAATATAGTTGAAAATCATCGCCAAGAATAGTGAAATTGAAGTAATTCAGAATTTTCTCAAGAAAAAGCACACATTTTTTATCAGCATGAGAGACTTTTCATTAACCCAGACAAACCCTGTGTTGTCTGTATCTATGGCAACTAATACACAGATAAAAGCACTAATAAGAGAATAAATGGTTGTAAATTGTTTACATCCTCTGTGTCCTGTTCCCAAATCACACGCACACAACTACACATCAATACTAGTTTTTGTATCAGTGAACTTCTAGTTATAATTTTAGGAAAACTTAAGACATTCGAGCCAGGAAAAAACACACTTAATTTATATATGAACACTCTGCCTCTTCATTTTGAGACTGCTCACATACATGAGTTATGGTGACTTCCTGTCCCCTTCCATCCCGGCCTCTCCTTTCCCACTGCCTCCTCTCCTTTGCTCCTTTAATCCCTTCCTGGACCACACCAAGTGACTGGTGACTGCCTTGAACTCGGCAGCTGCAAACCCCACGGCAGAGCAAGGAAAGCAGCAGAGAGCAACCAAATCATCTTGTGCTCCACCCGTTCCTCACAGGCCTCCAGGGAGGTGGGTGCAAGGGGCTTTCCTGAGACTGCCCCCAACTCCTGCTCTCACCAGGACTGAAGAGAAAATCAATCCATGGCAAATCAGATACAGGAGTTTGTACCCACCCTGGTGCCATGCTCTCCATTAACCTCCAACCCAAGACCCACTGAAACAGCAGAGTCTGTCCACTTCAACAGGCTTTAATGCTCTTCAGCACCTCATCAGCTGATGGGTAGAGAGCTCACAATATTTTAAATAACAGTGTTGGACTGTCAAGCTTAATTCAACTTTTGGAAGCTACTACCTAGCTTGAAATGATGGCTTCAGAAGAATCAGAGTAATTACTAGTTCAGTATAAACATTTTGAAGCAATTCTGAATTTATGCCAGATATGACACAAGATTTGGGCCACCCTTCTCAGCCTGTTTGCTATTTTCAGGATTTTCCTCTGAGAAAACTCATGCTGTTGGCAAAGAGAAATATAAACAGTTCAGAATAAAACACTGACCAAAGACTTGGTAGATCAGTAGGTAAATATACAACACTCTGCCCCAGAAACATGCTCTCACAGTGACAGGGCAGATGTTAAAGCAAATTCTGTGCACAGAGAAGCCAACGAAGCCTCATTTCTGACAGCTGTGCCACAGTTCTGGTGCTGCTGACCCCAGCAAACATGGCTCCTTTACAGAGGGTTCATCACCTCTTACCTCTCCACAAATACTCAAGTCTGCTGCCCTTCACCAACCACAAACTCCCCCTGCCTCCCAAGCCTTCACCAGTCTCAAACTGCCTGGGAACTCCTCCATGGTTGGCTCTTCTCCCATCCTCACGGACAGGTGGGTCCTCCAGGGTGACCCTGCAGGCTCAGGGGCTCCTCAGCCACCCAGGAACATGTGGCCCCAGGCCAGATGTACCCCAGAGCTCACAGTGCAGTCTGTTCCTCTCTGGTGAGCTCAGCACGTCTCTCTTTCCTGCACCCAAGCCAACAGTTCACATGGAAGCTGTAGGGACTTAAAATCTCAAGCTCCTTCCTACCTCTGTCCCCCTTCTGCTGGGCCCCATCACTCGATTTGATCTGTATTTCCCAAAAGGTTTAAAGGCTACTGGGAAAGAGTACTCAGACAGACACACCTTCTTCCAAAATATTCATGGGCAAACTCCCCCACTGCTCAGAAAGTAGAAGTGTCTTTGTGCATTAAATTACAATAATTAAAGCAGCAGGTGGACGGAAATGAAACCAGGTAACTCCCCAAAGTATGCTGTTCCCTGCTCAAAATAGAAGTGTTTTCACATAAGAAAGCACATGTAATACAAAATCTCCATTTATTTTTATAACAACAATTTCTACTGTTGAACAATTAAATCATTTCTTTCCCCAAACCTGTGTACCTTCAGCTTTTGAATTACAGAACAATGGAAATACAGTACAATATTCTTGTCAGGGAACAGAAAGATAAGGGCAAATAGAAGATTGCATTTAATATTTTATCCATCCTTCCTTCACCAGAAAACAATTCAGTCCTGACATCTCTCCTTTGAACAGAGTCTTGATCTGGGCTATTGCTTCTCTGAGAGCCACAGACAAGGCAATAATGATAAAAGATCCGCTGGGTTTCTTCCCAGGCTACATGGCTCATCCTTGTGGCAGACCTGTCTGAGAGTGGGAATCACACCACAACAGTTCAGAGCCCAGCTACCTATGGAGTAAAACACATCAGGAATTCCGCCCCTCCGAGCTCCGTGCGCTGCAGAGGAGTGGGAAGATAAGGTATCTATTAGTGTGCTCTGATGAATAAGAGGCCTTGAATCACCAGAAACATTCTGGAGATATTCTGCAGCAATTATGTTTACTTGCATAAAATGCTATTAGATCTTTGGCTGAGAGGCACATGAAAAACAGGTATAATATTATGTATGATTAGCTGTCCCACGTAAATTAGGGTTTAATTCAACACCTACTGAGGCTAACAGTAATGATTTCACTGAAACATCCTTAAATTAGGATGCCCCT